ATTCCTTACAAAGCAATAGCAAATGAATATATAAACTGTTGGTCATTAAGGAAAAAAGGAGTGTAACACTTAAAATAATCACTGTTATGTTACATATTAGTCTTCTAGAAATCAAATTGAAAGATGGTAAATGTGTGAATTCTAAGGGAAATACTTTCCTCTGAAGTCATTTGCAACTCCTAATCCATGAAGCAGGAAAGTAAAATAAACACGATATTTAAATACACTGAATGGGTTCCAGAACAACAGAAAATGCTAGGTTTGCTGAATTCTGGACGCACAGCCTGCCAGCACAGCAGTTACCCTCTCTCTCACAGTTTCACATCCCTGGAGCCCAGAGTTCTGACCCTGCAAGGCCAGAAAGGAACGGATGTTGCTTATGTGCCAAGGAACTAACATTTTTCTTCACCTTTTGCAATGTCAGATATTTCTTTGCATGTGTCAAGTTCAAATTCCTGAGAGAAAAAATTTTAATTTTTAGGCGAGCAGATTTAAAATGCTGCTAAGGAATCCCCTTGCCCTTCAATTTTTTGAAATCATGGATTATAGATTACATGGAAAATTAAATTTATATTCATACTTAATATGCACAGGAAAATTGACCTAGGTGAATCCTAACAAAAGTTGCATTCAAAGACACCTGTAAATATCCATTAAATCCATCTACACCACTGTGCTTGATGATGGCAAGTTTTCCTCAAATATTTGAAAACTGATATCATCCTAACCTCTCATTGAGAGCAAAAATTGGTGGCAAACCAAGGCAAGTATCCAGAACCGACTCTGCTATTCTGTCAAGCAGACAGAATGCCAATAGACGATTTATAATATGCCAGGCTATGTCCCTGCAGAGTGTTTGGAGGTAGACCAGATACCCATGTGACAGCTCACTCCTGGGTCAGAGAAAAGGGTAGGCCAATGACATTCAAGCTACAATAAATAGATTTCTTCATCAGTCAGAATATCTGCAAGATAAAGAGACCGAGAAGAGCTCAGCCACAATTCCATCTGGCTCAGCAGAGCTGCAGAAAAAAAGGAGGAAGGAGGTAATTTTAAAAAATTATTATATTATCAGACCAAAGAAAATAACGTTTTCTCAGAAGAACAGTTCAATAACCAATATGGAAATGGCAAGACAAAACAGCCCACCCACTTAAAAGTGACCGCGAGAGGATGCAACACTGGAATGGAAGGTCACAAACAGAATTTCTCTGCCTATTCTGACCATCATACACTTTTTATAAATCTACCACTATGCCACTTTGTACACTAACTATAAATTCTGAAACAGGACACAGTCACCAGATAGAAAAGTCAGTCCTAGGGAAGATAAATTAGGTGCCACTAAAAGAAGACTTTCAACTCTTTCAGATCACTGCATCTGGAATGAGGGTGAAGGTGTACACACAGTGGCGGAAATACTCAAGATTTGATGACTACAAAATGTTTGAAAGCAAATTTATCTTATTTCTGCTAGTCTTCTGTGATTTCTAGATCTTGCGCCACCTGGTCCCAGGGAAGCACAGTTGGACAAGTTTGCCCAGAGCACTCAGAGTGATTCATGAGCAGTCACAGGACCACAGATGCATAAAATCTACCTTAAGATTTGGTTTCCTTTTCTTGGAGATTCTGAAAGGGGTGCCAACCACATTCAATATCGGGTTTTCAGAAACCTCCAAAGAGAAATTCTGCCAAACGGTTACTTCAAAATCCTCACTGCACAAGTGACTCATCCAATAAGCTCACTGGGGCGGGAGGGTGTGTGTGTGTGTGTGTGTGTGTGTGTGTGTGAAATCTATCAAAAGATGAGAGTCTGGTGTTAAATGCTGTTTAATAAGCAACAAAAGAGAAATCAGAAAAAGAACAGAGATAAAAGATCTTAACAGGCTTTGCCAAGTAAAACAGATAAACGTATAAAAATATATCAGCTTGGTAGACACATTTCTACTCATTGATCCTCCCATTTGTGACCTACTTTTATGCAAGGAATTACTCTTTCTCCAAAAGCAGTTAATTTACACTATTAGGTGAACCAGTGAACCAGGGCTGGCCAAAATGCCCAAGTTATCACATATCAAAAGAAGTATACACATTGGGATTTCTTTTTTTTTAATCTAAAAAACATTTTTTATAGTTTATTTATTTTTGAGATAGAGACAGAACATGAGCAGAGGAGGGGCAGAGAGAGAGGGAGACACAGAATCTGAAATAGGCTCCAGGTTCTGAGCTGCCAGCACAGAACCCAATGCGGGGCTTGAACCCACGAACCACAAAATCATGACCTCAGCTGAAATTGGTCACCCAACCAACTGAGCCACCCAGGCGCCCCAGCACACTGGGATTTCTGTCTACTTGTACTATTTCAAACAGCACAGTCTTTGGAATCAGACAGACAGGACTTAAAATAAACTGGCAAAATGTTTGTGTGTTACTTAACCTCTCTGAGCTTATTTCCTCATATGTTAGATGCTGGTAAATGTTTCTTTCATGTATGATTTACAGGGAATGAAACCACATATAGCAGAACATTTTTATATAGCATAGTGGCCAATGAGTGCAAATTCCCTTACTCATTCTTTATAATCTTCATCTAATTTAACACAGGCACATGGCATGAAGTGTACCCCAGGACTCTTCTGCCATGCATCTGCAGTAACTAGGTAGGGAAAAGAGAAAGCTTACCATGGGAATTTAACAGGTTGATCTAGCAGTCATGACTTTCAGAGTTGACTGATTTTTTGTTCCAATTTTTGCCACGCTGACTTGACTCTGTCTCTCCTCTTAACTGTAATAATGTCAAGAGCTATAGATCTTAGGGCTCTCTACTGGATTCCTGAAAGTGGCTTTCAGAAACTTGCTTTTATTCAAACTATGCATTCTCCTGGCAAAGTCCCACAAGAGCAAGCACTTTTCTGACATAATTTTCTCTCTCAATTAAAGGTTTGTGTACCAAAATACACATTAACACACAGGTCAGTGTAAGACAGAAATAATTCATGTGTCAAACTGCCCCAAGCTCTGAGCCAGGAGAAGGAGGGTAAAGAGTATTATTTGGCAGCTTCCGACGCACAGCTGACGGCAAGCATGCCTGGCTTGCTCTCTCAGCCTCTTCCCCACCTGCAGCCCACCCTAGGCCTGAAAGGACTTCCCAAGAATTTGTTAAGCAAATGTCTATAGCATCCTTACTTAAAGCTAAACCTTTTTACGTGTTTCCAAAAGCTATGATCTAAAGCATCCTGGAAACGCCTTGATTTTGTCCCCTTGCATTTCTTAATCTGCATTCTTCCTGCTGTGGCTGCTCAGTATCCACTAAAACGTATCAGGCTTTTCTGATACATCTACTTACAAGGCACATGGGAAATTCTTTCAATCCATCTTTTTTTTTCTGTATTTATGCATTACTTTTCTCAAGATTAGCATGAATTTAGAATGTGAAACTAGGGAAATTAACAAAAAGACAGCAAAACGTCAATGAAAATACATCACAAAAATATAGGAGGGACAATTATTAATGCCTTTATAGCACCTCTAAAAGTCCTAGCTACAAAGTAGTTGGTTGGGAAGATAACAGTTCATCACTATTGATGAAACAAAAATTTGGTTTCTGAAATACAACTTTTTTTTTAAGTAGTTTCTCCTCCCAGCATGGAGTCCAACGTGGTGCTAAGATTAGGAGTTGGACACTTAACTGACTGACTGTGCAACCCAGTGGCCTCTGATATGCAACTTTAAAGTATCACAAAGCAAACCACTGTTTTCAAGTATGCATATGGCAACACACTACACAGACACATCCACACATTCATGCACTGTCCAATAATTTATATACAGTCTTCAAAATAATGAGCAAGCTGGCCTTATGCCTTCTTAAAACTTAAAACCAGTATATTTACTAACATCTGTCCTTCATGTACAGCAATCCAGCCACTTTCCAAGGCTTTTGTAGCTATTGCAAACTAAATTTTAGATCCAGAAAATGAACATGTGCTTTGGGATACAGTGGAGTATTGTTTGAAGTACTGTCATTTAACTTAAAGACATAAAGGACTTCAAAAGCTACTTCACATCTCATTAAAACTTTACAGACTCTCAACAGGAAATCAGAAGATTATAGACTACATTTAATCTAATGCAGGGAAATCACCTCATGATGAACTCCTGCTATGCCAAGAAAGGTGACTAATGGGAGAGTCCTTTCCTACTTTTCTTTCTCCCCAATCCCAGCTGGTCCTGGTATTCACCACATCCCCACATCCCTAATCCACTTGTTCTAATATCTCCCTGGCCCAACCAGATAAATTGGTCCTCAGTCTCTTTGCCTTACCATCCTTCATCTCTGACAGCACCTATAGAAGAATTACCACATCAAACAGCCAAAGAAGCAAACTTTGGCCTCAGGGTGAGAGCCACAGTCTAGGGCCTTATCACCTCTGACACAAGTTTCCAGAAGATCCAACCACATTAGTTCAGTGTAATTGCTGGAAATACTAACTGGATAATTTTCAAGGTATAAACAAGCACAGCATGCAGAGGTGACCACCAGAAACCCAAGGGTCTCAGAGCTTTTTTAAAAACCAACACTCCTGTAGCATCTCAAAATTTCAAAAGAGAACTTTCCCTACAGATGATACAGCAGAGGCCATTTGTCCCTGAATCTCAAAATATTACTCAGTATGGCATCATCTTATTCTCAAGCCCATTCCATTCCTCTGCAGAGCTGTGTTTTAACATCAAACATTTAAGACTAATCCTTATTTCTCTAACAATGTTATGGTCAAGCCTTCCTATATCTGAAAAGAAAACAAAGTAAAACAATTTTCTGATGTTATTTTTCTAGAGGGAAACATAGCAGATTATAATCAAGTCACAGGTACTACATATCCTCAGCTCACCAGATAACCCCTGTCAGTGTTAATAACACAGTGGAGCCCATGATACTGGTGAAGGGAGGGGGGGTGTGAAAACACATGGCTGTGGAAGAACCCCTTGACTGCTCTCACCTCGTTTTGAGGAACGGCATCATTTTTGAGAATAATCAGGTTCCCGGCACTCTGCCCACTTTGGCCTGTGAGGTGCCTGCTGTCACTCGCTGCTGCCTGGGTTCCCCCAGGCCCCAGGCCTGTCTGTGCCCCTGTGTTATAAAACATGAAAGTGTCACTCCCTGAGCCTGCTGTCAGACAGGCCTTGTAGCAGTAGGTCTTGGTGAGAGAGCCATTCCCTCGCACTTCAATGAAGTGAGGCTGCACTTTGAGGCCATGTGGTAACCTGGCATCAATATTGTTATTGGCCTGTTTGTTTAGTTCGGCAGGGCACCGCTCCCTCACTCCACAGAAGCCCCCACAGCACGCAGTACCATATGCTGTATAGCGGTAGCACTTGATGATGCTCAAAACAATGATTGTCAAAAGAAATATAAAAGACACTGTGCTTAATGCTATAATTAGATAAAGTGTAATTTCAGAGTATGTCCGATGACTTTTCACGTGTCTCTGAGTATCAGGGAGGATTCTGGAAACCCTATCCACCACAGCTACTGTAATGGCCACAGAGGCTGACAGTGATGGCTCTCCATTGTCTCGGACCACCACAGTCAGGTTGAAAGTGGTTCCACTCTCATCTCCCATCTTCCTGGTAGTCCTAATTTCTCCCGTGTGTAGCTCTACTTTAAAGAGGTCCAAGTCAGAAGTCTGGGCCAGGTGGTAAAAGAGCCAAGCATTTTGCCCAGAGTCTGAGTCCATGGCTATGACTTTGGTGACCAGATAGCCAGCAGGGGCAGTCCGAGGCACCATCTCAATGGCTGCTGACGAATTAGTTGAGGTAGGGTACAGGATGTGAGGGGCATGGTCATTCATGTCCACCACATACACATTGGCGGTCACAGTGCTGCTCAGTGGTGGACTCCCCTTGTCCTGGGCCTCCACAGTCACAAAGAACTCCCGAAACTTCTCATAGTCAAAGGAGTTGACGGCATAAAGGCTTCCACTGGCACTGTTAACGGAGACATAGGAGGTGACTGGCAGCCCTTGAATCTCCCTATCCAGGAGGGAGTAGGTCACCTCTGCATTCTCCTTCTCATCTGGGTCTGTGGCTTGCACAGTGCAGAGCAACACCCCTGGCAAATTGTTCTCCTGGATGTAGATGTTGTAGGAGTCCTTTAGGAAGCTTGGTGGGTTGTCATTGATGTCTGAGATCTCAACCTGCAGTGTCCGCTGGGATGTGAGCTGTGGTACTCCCCCATCAGTGGCTGTCACTGTGATGTTGTAGGCAGCCACCCGCTCCCTGTCCAGCGGGCCACTCACTACCAGTGTGTAGGAGTTTCCAAAGCCATTCAGCCGGAAAGGCAGTGAGGCCTCCAGGCCCAGGCTCACTTTACGGTTGGGGCCCGAGTCTTGGTCATTGACACTGAGAAGGGCCACAACGGTATTGGATGCAGCATCCTCAGGCACTGGGCTGTACAGGTCTGTGAGTACCACCTCTGGTGCATTATCATTCACATCCACGATGTCCACCAGCACTTTGCAGTGACCCACCATGGGCACGGGACCCTGGTCAGTAGCCTGAACATAGATCTGGTAGGAAGATGCCTCCTCGTAATCCAGTGCTCCACTTACCCGCACTTCCCCAGTGTTGGCATCAATGCTGAAGAGCTGCCTCTCCCGGTCCGACGTGTAGCTGCTCAAGGAGTACCTGAGCTCGCCATTGGAGCCCTCATCCGGGTCTGAGGCATTCAGCTTCACCACCAATGTGCCTGGGGGAGCATCCTCCCGAAGCTGGACGCGGTAAGTGTTCTGGTCGAAGGTGGGAGAATTGTCGTTAGTGTCCAGGACACGCACAGAGATCTGTGCAGTGCCTGAGCGGGCTGGGCTGCCGCCGTCCACAGCTGTGAGAACCAGGTGGTGCAGGACTGCCTGCTCGCGGTCTAGGCCCTTCCGCAGCACCAGCTCCAGCACCTTACTGTTCTCCTGCAGGGGTTTAAGGTCCAGCTCGAAGTGCTCGCTGGGGCTGAGCTCGTAAGTCTGCACCGAGTTGGCGCCCACGTCGGGGTCCTGCGCGCTCTCTATGTGAAAGCGCGCTCCAGGAGCCACCGATTCGCTTACCTGAAGCTGGTAGTCGGGCCGCGGGAAGCGCGGCGAATTGTCGTTGATGTCCAGAACCTCCACCTCTACGGCGCTCACCGCCACGGGGCTGTGCGCCAGCACTTCCAAGCTGAGCAGACAGCGAGGCCGCTGCTCACACAGCGCCTCCCGGTCAATGCGCTCGTTGACGAAGAGCGCTCCACTCGTCAGGTCCAGCTCCAGGTAGCGGGGACTGGGCGCACCCAGATGGTTGATGCGCAGGCAGCCTGGCCCCAAACGCCGCAGCTCCAGCCCCAGCGCGTTAGCCACGTTGCCCACAAGCGCGCCGGGTGCCTGTTCCTCCGGCACCGAATATCGCATCTGGGAGGCCGCTGGGCCCGGCAGCAGCAGTAGCAGCAAGAGAGGCAGCAGCAGCAGCCAGGACATGGGCGGCCGGAGTCGTAGATGCTCTGTCTGGTGCCTAAGTCTGGTGCCCCCCAGCTCCATAGCCACCGGCCGCGGCGGAGGTAGCCGGGCAGGGCCGGAGGCAGCAGCTTTCCCAGCCGCGCTTCACGCCCGGGCCCCGCCTCCGCCTCGGCTCGTGCCTCCCCGCGCCCGCTCCCCCACGGCTCACGCGCTAGCAAATGCCGGGGGCCGCTCCCCTCGTAGGCCCTCCGGGCTCCTGGCCTCGCCACCCCCGCTGACTCCCCATATCCCGGCTCCTCCGCTCGCCTGGGAGTCGCTCCGCTAGGCTTCGCTGCCTGCGAGCCGCCGCCGCCGCCGCCGCCGCCGCTGCTCCAGGGGGAGGGAAAAGGAAGCAGAAGGGGAGGGGGAGGAGTGCTCAGCAAGTCCCGCTCCGATTCCGCACCGAGGTGGCAGACGGCGACCGGGAGTCATCGGTCGCTCCAGCCACTCCGGCCCCGGCTCCTTCACCCAGGACACGCGGGATCCCAGCAGACCGCGGAAACACGGCCACTCCCTTTCTCCCTGCCCCCATCTCCCTGTTCAACCAGTCTCCACGATCCCTCGGCGGTTTAACGGGTCCTGTAAGGATATTATTCTAGGACAGGCAGTAATGTCTCTAGGACGTGGGCTTTCACCTTCCCAGGAAAAGATTTCCAAGCGCAGTTCAGGAAAATAAACTCAGGACCTTGGCTAACTACGGGCACCTGGGCGGCGGCTCCACATTCAAAAGAAACGAACGCAAGGGAGGCGCTCTGGCGTTGCTGATGGTGGGGATTATTTATCTGACCCCCACATTTTCCCTAGAATACTCCTAAATAGATCAGAAAGTGTTCAACTTCTGGGGCAAAGGGAGGGGGAGGGGACAACAAATGCTGTCCTCTTCTGCAGAGCAAGCCTAAAACTAACATCCTGGGATCTCAATACTCAGTTCTGCTAGTAGCCAAGTGGTGCTTGCTTTCTGTATCTTGGCAAATAACCAGTATTTCAAGTTTTAAGTTTCTCTTTTAGAAATTGGCTCCATGAAGCTGCAGGCTAAGCTCTTATTTGACCCCTTTTGAGCATAGTCGGGAAGCACGGTAAAATTTTAGAGAAATTCTTCTCTCAAGCTTTTTCTTACTTTACTCCAAATCTTTTTTCATTTATCATCCAAGACATTTTCTTTCTTCTTTCATGAGTAATTTAAAATTTTTTCTGTAATAGATGACAATGTCTTCAAGAGCCTGCAAAACCATTACATCAAGAGGGTTACTCTTCATCTCCCAAGCCTGGCTGGAAATCGGACGCCATTAATGCTTTGCAGTGAAAAATCTGCTGTTATTAGGCAAAATGTGGGAGGCTGGGATTTGTATTAACAACAGCCTGCAGTTTCGATGGCTGCAGCCCACCTTCCATAAATATGAGGCTCCATTAACACCTCTAGGCTTCCTTTCCCCTAAGACTCAATCTTGTATTGCTACAGAGATAACAAAAAGACAACCAGTATTCTCTTCAGTGAACAAAAAGACAAATGGATCAGAGGAAGCATCTCCATGCTGTGTCACTGCCTCTGCTTCTCTGTTCCAGAAATCCACTCTTCCCAGGCCCTCTCATCTCTTCAACAGAAATTTAAAATTCATTGTTGGGGCGTCTGATTGGCTCAATCGGTTAAGCATCTGACTCTTCATTTTGGCTCAAGTCATGATCTCATGGTTCCGAGATGAGCTCAGCGTTGGGCTCAGCAGTGAGTATGGAGCCTGCTTAGGATTCTCTCTCCCTCTCTCTCTCTCTGCCCCTCCCCCATGTGTGCACATTCTCTCTCTCTCTCTCTCTCTCAAAATAAATAAATATTTAAAAAAGAATCCCTTAAAAAAAATAAAATCCATTGTCCCACATGCAAAAAGCACTCACTAAAAAGTCCTTTCCCTTTCTCATCTCCCAGCACCTTCTCACTCCTAGATATTCCTCTGGGGGTTGTTATCTAGCTATGAGCTGGAACAAGGCCAGAGTGAGTCTTGACATTTGGCATTCTTCCCTGCTTGAGGGGATAGGTGAAGGGGCCAAGGCAATGATCCTGCCATCCAGATTTCAAACGCCTGGACTAGCACATCCCTTCCTTCCACCCACTAAGTGAACTTGCTGACAACACTCCATAACCTAACCAATTTTATTCCAGAGATGCTTCCAGATTCCTCCTGTCACTGCTGCTTCTTATTTGTCCTCTTTGTTCCCTCAAGGGTGCAGAGTGGGAAGCAATTTCCATCACATTCTATTCCTGTCTTCTTTCTTAGGTCTCTGGCTTCTCCCTCTCTGTCTGCTTCCTCCCCAAATGTCCCTACAATAACTCTGTCTCTGTTTGCTGTGGTAATTTGATCTCAGAAAGGCTTAAACTCTCAAGTGCATGAATTGTAGACCTGGCCTATGTCTTCACCCATTACTTATTTCTGAAAATAAATGGCTTCTAAGTGGAATCAAGTTGTAAGTTGTCAGGAGGAGTGACCTTTTCTTCTCTCATCTCCTCCCAGGCCCTGACAGTCACTGCCACCTTTGCCCACCGCTCAGAAACCTGGCCACTGGGTATTGACCACGCATGGATCTGTGCCCCTGAAAAGATCAAAGGCACTTAAGGAAGAGATTAACGTGATGAAGTCTTGGTGAAGTTTTTAATGGAAGCCCCCAAGTGTCATATCTCTAGAGAAAACAAAACAAAACAAAACAGTGCTTGCCTTTTAGCAATTTTGTCATCTTTCAGCAAGGACATCTGCCAGGTTGTCCATTTTGACGTGTCAGGATCTCAAGCTTCAACTAGTATTTACTCCCTCAGTGATTGAGAAGGCAACAGAAAACCAACACAAATCAGCCACCTTTTCAAAGACATTGTACTAAAGAGATTGTACTATTGGGGCACCTGGGTGGCTTAGTCGGTTAAGCATCCGACTTTCGCTTAGGTCATGATCTCGCGGTTCGTGGGTTCGGGCCCCGCGTCGGGCTCTGTGCTGACTCCCAGCTCAGAGCCTAGAGCCTGTTTCAGTCTGTGATTCCCTCTCTCTCTGACCCTCCCCTGCTCACGCTGTCTCTCTCTCTCTCCTAGAAATAAATAAAACATTAAAAAAAATTAAAAAAAAAGAGATTGTACTATATATTTTTTAAAGTTTATTTATTTTGAGAGAGTATGTATGTGAGTGGGAGAGAGAATCCCAAGCTGGCTCTACACTGTCAGCACAGAGCTGGACACAGGGCTCAATCTCATGAACCGTGAGATCATGACCTGAGCCTGAATCAAGAGTGTGATGCTCAACCAACTGAGCTACCCAGGCACCCCATTGACTATACTATATTTAGCACTATAATGATTTTGTTTCTCACAGTATTTTACTTAGCCTCTTGCCAACTTTCCTACTTGGTAGAAGGAGATTGCTTAGACTGCTGGAAAATCCTCTGTCTAAAAATATGAATATTAATGCCTTGACCACTCCTTCTCTTGTTATACACTCCTTTCCTTGGAACTTCAAGAACCCCTATTAAAAAGCAGAATAGCACAATGTTTAGGAACACAGACTTTGGAGTCATTCACACCCTTGCCATTGACTCTGTGGCCCTGGACATGCTCTGAAACCTAAGCTTCAGTTCACTCATTTTAATCAGGGAAGACAGACAATATTAAGTAAAACTCATAGGGTAGTTATGATTACATGAGATGATGTACGTAAGGCAATTTGCTTAGTGACTGACAAGTAAAACTATTATTATTATGATCATTATTAAAATGTAACAATTTATTATCAAATCATACCTTAGTTGACAGTCTATATATATAGCCCTTTAGGTATCAAACACAGGTGAGCACCTGAAACTATGCCAGATAGGAAGTCATTGATGATAGGAAACTGAGTGAGCACCAATGTTAAGCTTTCCCAGTTACTTCTAGAGCTTACCCTATATTTTGAAAACAAAAACCAGTCCTTTTCTAGATCACTAAGGAAAAGGGACTTCTGTCATGAGAACTCCTCCAGGGAATTTGCTTCCTCACAAGAGAGAGAGTCACCTTTTTAGGATACATGAAAATACTTTCTCAACAGGGTATGGAAGAGTTCCTAAGCATGCTGTAATCTTCAGCACCCAGTATAGTGCTTGGCACAGAGGCACTTAATTAATGTTTTTTGAACAGACCTAAATTAACAACTTGTGTAATTCTCTCAGATAGAAATAGCGTCTACTTTTTTCTCCCCCTAAGTCTCATATACGTTCCAAAAGTCCATATTAACACTCACCTAATCCGTAAAACATTGTCTACTCTAATCATAATGGCCCTTCCCCCCTCTTTCACAGTCTACCACGTATTTCTGAATGCTGACATGTGTCATTCTTTAATTCTTCCAAAAGCTTTAATAGTATTTCTTTACATGAATTATAAGCAACCTGCAAATAGAAGCCATGTCTTCTATTCTGTGTATTCATCACAGTGTAGGAGACCTTAGAAACTCTCAATAAATGATGATTGTCATTTTCTTCAGATCCTTTTTTAGCAAATTCAAGAGCTGCTACAATTCAGGCTTGTCCTCTTTGTTGTATATAAACAGACCATGTCTAATGGACAGAGGGCTCAAGAGTCTGAAATGACCTTACTATAGATTTCTTCCTTTAATATTTGAAATACAAGTATTTCAAACCTGGAGAACTGAATCCTGCAAATAAGGCTGCTGGACTTTAAAAAAGGCTTTGCCCAAAAGTATTATGGTATTGCTTTTTCTACTCTGTATTGTAATTATAACTTATAAAGCACAGGTTATTTGCTGCTTATAGCCAACAAGAAAAGTGACATGACGAGAGAAGTGCCATAGTAGACATGGTTTTGTTTATCCCCTTGTAGACAATAACTTTGTAAATAGTATTCCTCAGTTGTATTCCTTACATTGCGTTTGTAAAATGCATCTTTCATGAGGTCATTGGGCACAAGACCAAACCAATCATAACACAACCGAATTAATAAGCCTGTTAAGAAAATTATTGGCACTCGGTGAACTCTCCTAATTCACATAAGGTTTTTTTTATTATTGCATCATTAT